GCTAAGACACCTGTCAATCAGAAAGGTTGGCAGTTTGGCGGTTTGAATCCACAGCGCTGCGTAATGGACTGAGCTCCCGTTACTTATCCCAGCTTCTGCCAACCTAGCAGTTCGAAAACATGTAAAATGCAAGTAGAAAAATAGGAATAACCTTTGGTGGGAAGGCAACAGCATTCCATGCCCCTCAGCATTTAGTCATGGCAACCATATGACCACGGACGTCTCTGGCTCTTCGGCTTTGAAACGGAGTTGAGCACCGTCCCCTAGAGTCGGGAACAATTAGCACATACATGTGAGGGGAACCTTTACCTTTACCTTGATATGGTAAATCATGGTGATTCTCTTCAAATTCTGCACTACCTGGCTGAATAAGCAAATAAACGTGGTGTTATTATTTCATTTGCAATTTGACAATTCTTTATAAATATCTTATTAGTGTAGCAGTTAAGTCATTAGACTAGAAAGCAGGAGACAGTGAGTTCTAGTCCTTCCTTAGGCACAAAGCCTGCTGCGTGATCATGGGCCAGTCACTTTCTCTCAGCACTAGGCAGGAAGCAATGGCAAACCACTTCTGAAAAACCTTGCCAAGAAAACTTCAAGGACTTGCCCAGGCAGTCTCCAAGAATCAGACATGATTGAACAGAAGGAAGGGGAAGTATTTTAGAACCTTTGCTGGCATCTGTAATATTTATGTGCTTGTTTCTTTATTCTTCTGGCCTTTTTTAAATTGGCAGGGCATCAAAGAAACAATTGTAGGGCAAGACAATTGTAGACCTGAATATATTCTAAATGTTCAGATTTCAGAATGCATGGTTTTCAAGGATTTTGAAATGTTTCATTCTGATCATCTCTGAAAAGTAGTCCTACTTTGAAATTAAGTGGGCTGTGTCCAAGGATTTCATATAAGAAACAAACTACTTGTCTATTGAATGCACTTAGTTTTAAATTTTATATAGATTATCTCTACACACGTACAAAAATACTTTTTTCTCTTTTAAATCCTGGGTTGCGTTTTAGGTTACATGTTGTATTTGATGATTGTTATATTATGTTCTTAAGAAATGATTGTTGGTTTGTTTTTAAGGTCCCTTTGAGCCAGTATTGCAGCCGTGCTATTATGAAGTTGATGTATTGCGCACACTGTCGGGGCATGTCAAACATTAAGCCATGTAATAGCTATTGCCGTAATGTCTTGAAGGGCTGCCTGGGCAATCATGCTGACCTGGACACTGAATGGAAGAACATGATTGGTAAGATCTAGAGATGCCTGCCTGAAAAAATTGTTTTCATTGACATTTTTTTAGCTCTTTAGTTTCCTTTTAGTTAAGCAATGCAAGGTTGGAGATCAATTGATGCATGCATTAGAGGAATATTTTCAATATCTTTGAAGCATCACTTCTTCCTTTATGTAATTCTGCATATTTTTGAAATTCCATAGTTCCCATAATGGATTATGAGTCTTTCAAGTTTTTCAGAAGATTTTTTTTTTCAGAAGTTTTCCAGGATATAGAATCTCCAAGTATTCATCAGTACCACAGATTGGATGATTTTAAGGAGTTAAAAAATTAGTTAAATTAGCAGTTAAATTCTTCAGAAAAAGAATTTTTTAACAATGAGTAAAAAGTTCAATTACCTTCAAATTGAACTCTATTTCTAGTAAACTACATAGACACATTCACATAGAAAAGGTTTAAAAATTGAGAAATGGTTCTCAAGCATAATTATAACATTTTGTTTTGTATGTTGTTATTTAAATATTCTTAAATTTATTGTCACTTTATCCTTATGACTTCTTTTTCTGCGTGGGACAATATTTAACGGTTTGTCTGGATCTAAACTAATTGATTGATTGAATGTTTTCAGCCAGTGTTGATCTTAATGACAACCACATACATATATTTTCTTTGTGATGATCTGTCTTTTGGTCCTACGGGTTTTCTAACAGTACATTGCCATTTTAATTGAGGCCATCCACCATTACAGACTTCTCAAGAGACTGTAGGGTTTTGGATAATATGTCTAAAATAGGAGAGGATGAGACTATTCATGTACCTTGAGTGAGAATGCTGCATTGATATGTTTGATGATCCATTTGTTTAGTTAGTTTGCGTCCATACCATAATATTCTAAAGAGTTTTCTCCAGCACTGAAGTTCAAAAGTGTCAATACTTTTCCAATCCTGTCTCTCCAAAGTACAACTTTGCCTATATAAAGTATCACAGGAAATGCTACTGTTTCCACTATTCTGATCTTTGTAGGTATAAGTAAATCATGGTATCTGAATATCTAGGATGTAAATATATAAAATATTCCACTGATGTATGTTGCATTTTCAATACTTATTATGTTAATTATAAAAAGACCATCTCAAATGATTTGTTTCATATGCTTTTTAATCAGTATCATTTTATTCTTTTCCCCAATAGATTCATTACTGTTGGTGGCTGATCGTTTTGATGGACCATCTAATGTAGATGTTGTAATTGGTACAATTCATGCTAGGATTGCTGAAGCCATTTCAAACATGCAAGAAAACAAAGAATCTATAACAGCCAAGGTAAGAATTAAATTGTGAACTTCAGAATATTTACCTCTTATATATTTAATTGCCTGTATTTTTCTTATTGCTTCCTCCCCTAAATATTCATGGTATTTCCTGTAAACAGTCACCTAAGCATGCCAAGTGACTTTGGATCACATCCTGGGTATTTTGAGCCAGTGACATTCAATGACAAGTTACCATGAGAGGATTCCATTGTTTCTACTAATAAAAAAATAGACATGTTATGCTTGCGATTCTTCAGGGCTCAATAGGTGGAAAGCCACTTTTATTGTCATACAAGAATTATTAAACCCTAGACCTGTCATCTTTAATTTGTAGTGTTGACCGGAATGTGTCTCCTTCCCAATATGAGTGAGCTCACTGACTCCTTCCCAGTATTAGAGTGAGCTCACTGTGAGATTTATCTGTCTCTTCCTCATCGCCTTTGATTACCAAACATTTGTCCTTCCTGAACAGAGTGTGATATTTTAGCCCAGCATAAATGAAATTTGCTCCATCACAAATCCAAACCCTGCAGCTTCCTATCCAATTGACCCTGATGTGAACAGCATAATTTGAGTTCCTGGACCCCAGCTATTATTCTTATGGAACAGAAGAATTGTAATTAAGCTGCTAAGAGAAAGTGCATCAGGAACTGACTAGCAAGAAAATAAGTCACCAATAGACTGACAGAAAGAAAAAGAGAGAACATAATACTGCTGCCTAAAATATAGTGATATAAAGCCATCAGTTCAGAGAGTGAGAATGGCTTCAAAATCCATTAATCATTAGATTGTTAAGGAAACCAACAAAAGAAAGCTCTAGAGTGGGGTTTTTAAATTCACTAATTATTATGCATATATGACATCCCATATCGATACTAGTTTCTGAGGGCTTAAGCAAGTTAGAAAAGTAGAGCTCGTTGTGCTATACATTTTTAAATCAGCCATTTGAAACAAACAAAACAAAAATACTAGTATGAAATATTAGAGCCAAGGTGGTGCAGTGGTTAAATGCAGCACTGCAGGCTACTGCTAGATCAGCAGTTCAGCGGTTCAAATCTCACCGGCTCAGGGTTGACTCAGCCTTCCATCCTTCCGAGGTGGGTAAAATGAGGACCCAGATTGTTGGGGGCAATATGCTGACTCTCTGTAAACCGCTTAGAGAGGCCTGAAAGGCCTATGAAGCGGTATATAAGTCTACTGCTATTGCTATTGCTATAAATATATAGGAAATCAGAATGTCTTCATATTTGAAATGAATTTTAAGTAAATTTAACATTGGTGAAGTCAATGCGCAGAGATTTACCTGGTAGAACTTTATTTTTTTTTCTTAAACGTGCTTTTATTTTTTCCCCCCAGATTTTTCAAGGTTGTGGAAATCCCAAACTCAGTACAAAAGCTGCCAATGTGGAAGATAAGAAGAGGCGGGGAAAATATGTCACTGAAGATAAACCTTCTGGGCTTAGTTCAGAGAAATTTGTGAGTTCAGAGGGTTTGTTTGATTTAACTCTGCACTAGAACTGCTTGTGTAACCTGTTAATCAAAATGTTCCTTAGGCCTTGTAAAGATGTTCATTGTGTAAAGGAATACATACAGTATAAGCACCGTTTAGCTTCAGTGTGGAGCCTTTCTTTTATTGGAAGAATACACATCACTAACCTGTAAAAATGAAAGTACCCTTTTAGCCAATCATCAAAAAGTGCATTTTCAAAAATGCACCAAATCCTTAGCCATCCTGCTTACGAATATAAGGAGTTATTTTTCACATGTTTAGACTCTCTGCAAGTAAAAATGTTTCTATCTCATCTAGTAATCATGGGCAACTCAGAGCCATACTTTACAATAACAATAAATTGCAGTTATATTGTGTATTTTAGAAATGTGCAAATGTCTAAAATTTTGCAATATTGGTGTAAAAATTACAGAGACTATCGAGAATGATTTGCTTGGCATGCTTCTGAGCCAGTATCTGCTTATTCAGGTAGCTGTTGAGCTAGGGGCTGGAAAGGGAGAGAAGATGCTGAGAGATTGAGAGAGAAGGACCAAGGGATAGAATATTGGTAGCAGCAAGCAGGAGGGAAGATCACTGAGAACTGACATACACATCATGCAAAGGAGGCAATAGTAGGACCATGTGTGATTCTAAAGGAAAGGAAAAAGGGACACCAGCCTGCTGTACTCACTGTATAAAATCATTCTGGGATCCCTTTCACTTCAGCTAAACTACAGCCAATCTTTGAAAGAAGATAAACACTTTGAAAGAACATAATATGTTTGTAAAATAGAGACAGCTGATGGATTGAGTCTCCTCGGATTGTATCCAACATCTAAACACTGCTAGCACTGGCAACAAAATTCCCCTGATTATTAACATAAGATTTAAATCAGGTAAATGTGATCTGCCACTACTTTGCAGAAGATACATAAGTAGACTTTCTCGATTGAAAATTATTGCATCAATGTGCAATGAAAGTGTCTTAACTGTAAATATTTTAGTATGGAGTAGCCAGTTTATTTTCGTTAATAGTGTCTTAAAACATAGCCTTTCTTCTACTTTTGTTTTGGGATGTCTTTCAATAGCATCCAAAGTCCCATTTCCATTGCTAGCCTTTATTCTACACTAAAGAATTCTATCAGCCACATTCTTAAAAAAAAAACAATCAAGAATATTTTCGCATTTGCTTTATTGATCAGATTTGTTATTCCCTTTTCATTATTATTATATGAATCCAAAGCAGAAATGCAAAGTAGACATAAAATCATAAAAATATGACGTCTTTATCAGATATAAAAAGTGTTATCTCAGAATGTTGTCTCTGAAAATTTATGCCATTAAAAGTTTCTTGGTCTATATTTAATACTTATGTATTCCTAATGTTATATTTTCTTGTTTTGCCACCTACAATTTTTTAGGTATCTTTTTCCTTTTTTTCATTTCTCAGTTAGAGCAAAAATCTGATCTGCACATGCCTTCCCCGGCATAAAACCATAGTGGTCTTCCTAAATTTTGCCTCGTGTCATCTCTTGTACCCTTTCAGTCCCAATTCTTGCAAAACATCTTCCCAGCCACACATAAACTAATCTTCTTGTAGGATTTGCCTTTTTTCTCATGACTTACTTTGTAGAAAGGAAGAAAAATGGCATTCTTTCAAGACTCAGTCAGCTGTGTAATCTTCACACATTTCAAAAAGTCATACAACCACAGCACTAAGCAAACTACATTTACTTTTGCAATTTATACATACAAACTTATCATTTTCCCATTTTCTTGAAGCATTTCAAGTTTCCATTTCATCCATTTTTCTTCATACAAAGAACTATACAGTATCATCCATTTTTCAAAACCTCCGTTTCATTCTCGTATAAAATTCAAAAACAGTCCCTCCAGTCATCCTTCAGTTCGGTTTCCTCTCGAAACATCTTATCACTTTTATTTTTAATTTCACTCATTTCATCTGTCTTCTAATACTTTTTCCTGTAGGACTCATGCAGTCATCCTTCTTCAACAGTTGATTCTTTGATTTCTTTCTTGAATTTTCATGGCCATCTCATGGCCTTTATTCTGATATCATCATCTCCTTCATCCTTGCCTTTTCTTAGTTTCACAGTTATAGGATATTATTTTTCATTTCATTTGTTAATGTATGCCCTTTACCATTTACTCCTCCTTCATGTCACAATCTATTTGCCGTTGTTATCATTTGATTGCCCTACAGATATAGCCATTATGGCTTTTGAAAATCAAGGCTTTCACATAACACTTTTTAATAAAATTGATGAGATGTAGATTGGTTTACTAGCCTTTGTAGTTTTGATGCCATGTGTAATATTCCCAGATAATGATAAGAATAATATTGATCAGTTGTGACACTATGTGATAAATATAACCAAAAATTAATTTTATCTCAAGCATAGCCATACCATTTTATGCAAACTAGCATTTCTAAACTGGAGATTTTATTACAAGCCAATTTAATGTATAAAATAATGTATCTTTAATTGTTGTTATATACTAAAATGGGTAACAGTCCAGGGATGGTTACAGCAGAGAGTAGAGTAGAATAGGGTAGGATAGGGTAGGGTAGGGTAGAGTAGAGTAAAGTAGAGTGGAGTGGAGTGGAGTGGAGTGGAGTGGAGTGGAGTGGAGTGGAGTGGA